ACATGACGTTGACCTTCAGATATTATGATTCCAATGGATCTTAAAACTTCAGAAATCATTGCTGGAAGACTCAACGTTTGGAAAATCTGGTCTAGTCCTGGGCACAGCTCAGAATGTTCTTTCCACAGAAGAAATGTCTGACACTGGCTACTATCAACCACAAAGTGGTATTTCTTGTAGCCATCACCTGCAAGACGTGTCTGAACAGACAAGCCTTATCTTGCAAGGAACTCTTTTTTGGTTCTGCATAGGGACAAGGTGATGTTGAGGCTCAGAATTGCCTTCTTGCTCAATTTAGGTTCTGCCTTTTACCTCAACAAATGTTTTAAATGATTGTTGTTTATACTGGGAAAAATGTTTTATTGTTTTTTACTTCTAATTTTTGGATGAAAACCTTGCATTTTCCTACTTCAAAACGTAATGCTCAGTTAAAGCTTATAAAACAAAAGAGAAATATGGTTTGAAAAAAAAAAAAAAAAAGTGTACTAGGGTTTGTGAGGTAAAAACCATTGAGAGTCTGCAAATGTCTAATTAGAAAAAGAACAAGAAGCCATATTCTATTTTTCTTTTAATTTTCAGTAGGAAATAACTCCAGAACAGCATATTTTAACACATACATTCTTAAAAGTGCTCACACACAAATATATTGAAAGAAAATGTGAACCTGGGGACTGGCACATCACTACAAGAGGTCATAATGCAAGATCCCCACATCAAACAGCTGCCAAGGGACACTAACACTTCTGCTCATAAAGGACTGAAGGATGTAAAACAATGGATGATTTATGCAGACATCAGGGTGCTTCTTCTACAGCTTTTCATTTAACTGAAAAAATACGACAAATATTAAATAGCAATACTTAGACATTTTATGAATGCGCCATTGTAATCCGTTTTAATCTTTTAAAAAGGTCAGTCCTACCCAAGCCGCTATTTTAGATTTTTGGGGATGTCAGTGGGTTAAAATACCCCATGTTTTTTCTCTCTGCAACTCTAGCAGTGCAATTTCTGCAAAGGTTTCCTGGCTGAGTTACCTGCTGCAGCTACTACAAAGATAAGACAGCATGTCTCACTCCTCCTGCCATATTTCTTGTAATGTAAAGACAGAAACTGCAACAACTATATCCCCTCAACATACACTTTGTAATGGATTCAGCAGGTGGGTGGAGCCAGAAAGTTAGCACAGGAGATTGCACTGCTCCAGTCTGAAGAAAATAAGCCGTTGGGTTAGTAAACCTGCCATTATATACTGGCTTGGGTGGACTGCCTATTAGGAACCAAAATATGTTCAATGAATAATTAAGCAAATTCACCAAATGACTGATGTCACCCTGTACGGTAGACTGGTTAAGGCACTGGTGTTAACCAGGTTCCCTCTCACCAAGCAGATGGAGCAAGCTCAATGCCCTGTGGCATGGTCACTGCCTGCTCCCAATCTAGGTCTCTTCTTGTATCAGGTCCGCATTATTAGCATTCCAAAGCACACACTCACAGCCCTACACCATTTTGTTGTTCTATCGTTACACGACATTCTCTATGAATTAAGATGATTTCAAGTTATAAGAAGGGGTACAGTGTGTTCCTAAAATCCATACTCTCCCAAAGAAAGCACTAGGATCAATTACCAAAAAATATTCCTACATTATGGATTTGACCACATTCTATTCAGGAATACCAGCTGCTTGTATCCCGCCTGGGGACAAGGAGTGATGGGAGATGTCTCCAATGGGTCAAATAGTGTGGAAGTGTTACAATCGTTGGAAAGTTTTTTTAAAACAGTTTGTGCCTTCCTGTTATGGTGACAACCCCACTCATTTCGTGCCAAAATCTATCCTATCCAAAGCTAAAAAACTAAATTGGCTGGAATTTGGTTTCAATTGGTTAAAACAAGGTAATGCAAAATGTTAAACCGTGTCACATCTCTGCCTTAGGACAGTATTAAAAAGCTTATGGATGTATATTTTCATGGTCCGTGTACTGAAATTGTGATAGAAAGGTCAATTCACAAATGTGCATGATTTATGCTAACATTTTTACCATTTTATTTTAACTCATCAATTTCACGAAGATAGACATTGTAGCTGTGGGATCTGTTATATTATAGCATGGAAAATTTTACCAGTAAGTTTTTTTTTCTTGCTCATAAACATGCAAATCATGTATAATTACTTCATCTTCACCTGGAATGGTTCATTTTTCTTCTACCCACAACAAATGCCACAAAGTCGCTTTCCACCATTAAGAAGCAAACTGTATATTTAATTAGCAAGAACTCGTGCAATGATCTTTGTGAATTGACCTTTACAAATAAAATATCGCACAGCCAGATTTCAGAATGTACATGCAGAAAATTCAGCTGATCTATGTGATAGAAGTTAGTGAATTGAAATGTTCATCTTTAGTCAAAAATAATACCACACATTGCCGGGTCATAAAATGCAATATTTCATGACCCTGCAAACATTTCACCAAGTAAACTAGCCCTATGGTCCATCTTTATATGTAGGAGAGATTAAACCTATAGGACAAATGCATGCTTTCATGTGAACTAAGTGTAATTTTTAGCACAATGAAAACTGGAACAAAAAGTGGTGCAGTAGAGAATTCCAAAAATCAGATTTCATCTCTGACCTGAGAAGGAAACTGGCATATTTAACTGCTTCAGCTTTTTTTCAGTTTCTGTGAATGAGCCCCACTTGGTGCTGGTTAGACAATCCTGAAGGAAACTTTTGCTTAAAGGATGGTTACTGACACTGTAGGCACCAGTGCTGTTCATTGTACTTTATCATTGGAAAGCTGGAAAATGGGGTAAAAATAAAATGAGCTGTGTTTGCTTCAGTCATGTTCACTTGGCAAAATATCTAAAATTATTTACATATGTACAATAATAAAAAGCAATGCGTTTACTTTGTAAACTGATACTTGCAGTATATCAGGATGGTGAAGACCCAAAATGTAAAGCCAGGAGTTTGTATATTATCACTCAAATGAATCCCCTGTACTAAAACAAGCAATGTACATTAGATAGATTGGACAGGTGGCTTCATTTATATGCTGTATATGATATGTAGAAACATAAAAGGAACATTTATAAACCTAAAACAGGCTAAAAACAAACAAAATGTATTGTATATATACCTGAATAAGTTTTATAAATGTCCCCTATTCTTCCTTGTGAATAAAATTAAAGAAACAAATTTAGTTGTTGGCCTTGGCACACAATCACATTCCTGTTTTTATTTTCCAGCAGCCAATAAAAAAAAAATGACAGATGGAAATCAATAACGTATTACGAACACCTTCACTGCTGATTTCCCCTGGTTTGAAAGTCGGCTTCATAAGGTGAGGTTAAACTTGATCTTGCAGTGTATTCTGGAAAATATTGCTGCAACACATGTATGTCATGTTCTATTTGTACAAATCTTGTGCTGATGCAGAATTTGGTCCAGCATGTGAACATGATTGTGCATTTAATTAAGAAAATTGTGTCTGCTACACTCACCAACTTATGCACCCAGCTGGCATCTTAAGAGTAAAAGTCAATAGGTAATGCGCAGATATTGCTCGACATGCTGCCTTTTCAGGCCTAGGACCTTTTTTATCTGACAGGATTGCATGTACAAAATCACTAGCATGAAAAGATCTCATGTGAACAGGTTGATCCGAGAGGAGCAGACCTTTGGGGGTTTCCCCAAGGGCAAAAAATTGATGGACACTTTCTGAATGTCAGGGCCCAACTTTACGTTTTCTGCATGCAAAGCCTACTTGGGGCCAAGACCAATCCAAACAGTAACTGACAGTAAAGCATATCAGATCTGCCCTCACACTAGATCATATTCAGACCATATAAAAGAGACTGAAGCAAACACACCTGTATGTGTAAGCACACACAATCTAAGAAAACAACAAAATATAATGGGAAGATCCACTGGGTTGCATGCCTCAGTCCTTAAAGGACTCCGGGCAAAAAATCTTAACCCTTGCAGTTAGACTACCCCTACACCGCAAGGGTTAAGTGGTTGTTTTGTCCATCTGGCTGTTAGACCAGTCCCTTCTACCTCGCCATCAGAACATAGGGGATTGCAGACAGTGTTTCTTAAAATGCTTTGGGATATTGTTATGTGGTACATTTAGCTGCAAAAAACAGCTTAGCAGAGTTCTTGTTTAAACTGTAAAAAGAAACTAAGATATTAAAACCAAAAGAGGAATAAAACAATTTAAAAGTAGATAATACTGTGTTTTAGTGCAACTCGGCTAGGTATCAGGCTTGGGCTAGAGCAGATTTTCCATGTAAACTAAATTCTTAAACTGTAACTGCCACATAAATACAGGTGACATTTTTTGGAGTGGACACAAGGAGGCAGCCTACCAATTTACAAGGATCACAAATAGATAGGGACTCACAACATGGCTGCCTATATTATGTACAGGTACACTTTAATGGCAAGCTGTTATTTGTACGGCACGACCAGCTACTTACACGAAGTCTATGGTGGGTTTCTTCAATAAAACCAGAGAAAACATCATGTTGTTTATAGCAGCCAGACTGCAGCTCCTATTATGTAATCTGTCATGGATATATAACACAAGGAAGCTGAATGGCAGCTAACTGCAAAACCCATTTTCCCAGATGTAACCGAATTTGTCTGAGGAACTGCTTGTGTTAACTTTCAGAAGCTGTTTTTTTCCCCTTTAATATTTTCAGTTTATGAAAAAAAGATGGTTGGCTGGTATTGGCAACACATGTAGTTCTTCTTTCAGACATTTTCATGTAAGGACTATCGTGCGTGTGTTTTTTTTTGTCTCCAGCCATAGTCTGAAACATTAGCCTAACACATTGACCTAAGATTTGAAAAAGTGACGTCCCCTTCACCAACACCATCCATTTATATCTCAACCCTAGACTACACCATCTCATCCCTAATTAACACTGTTCTTTATACTAATTTTTTCCCCCATTGTTTTGGTTTTCCTAAAGAAAACTATTTTCTGTGTTTGTATATACATATATAAAAAACCCAAAAAGGGCAACACTTCTTTCCCGCGTAACAGTGAGTTTGACAATTAATAAACGCTTAACAAAACACGGTCACAAAGGACTGTGTATTACACTCAAGTGAATCCACTCAGACTCACACACACACACATTTACGCGCACACTATTTGGTGTTACATTTCAACACTCACATTTTTGTTTTTAGTTTGTCTTTAAGGCAGTGGTTCAGTGAACAATTAAGAAAAACAAAGAAAAAAGGAAAAGTCTACGCCTATATACATAGGCAATCTCAAAATGAGGTCCATGGCTGTTCCTGTCTGTCTGCAAGAGCATGTTTTTGTCCTGCGCAGGGTTGTCATAGGATGGATTGCAAAGAGGTGGATCACGTTCCTTGCCCTCCTCGCTGTCAGTGCGAAAACCTGGATCTGGTTTGTTCATTGCTTTAAGGTGCTGCTGCCCGCAGGTGGTGAGGGAGCTTTATAAGTTTATGGACTCATTGTTCCCGAGCCCCTGAGGGTCTCATGTACAGTGGAGACAGGGCTGTGATAAAAATGCTGGATATGTCACTCGAAGGTCATCAAGTTGACAGGAACCTGTTAATAAAAAAAAAAAAAAGGAGTCACAGATCTAAGTCAATGGATCTTATCAAAAGGACAGTTGTGCAGGCTGACTGATAAACAGCCTGCACAACATCCAAACGAAGAGAAATTTCCTGGATGAACAGGAACTGGACAAAGTGAAGGTAAAACAATGTCTTCATTTAGATGAAAGGCCGAAACCGCCTTGTGTAAAAGGGAAACTTTCCTAAAACAACCTTGTCCTTATGAAGAACCAAACGGGGTTCTCCACAAAACAAAGAAGAGAAACCCTTCTAGCCAAGGCAGTGGACACAAGGCAGGCAACCTTTTGGGATATAAAAAAAAAAAAAAAAGACAAAAAAATGACTTAGATGGGTTCAACTTGGATGGGGCAGGTTTTTGTATAACACATAAAACAAAGTTCAAATCCCACGGAGGAAGAGGAAAGCTAACAGGAGGAGCCACATGTGAATCTCCCTGAATAAAAGGAACTAAAAACCATGTGGGCCATTGCGGCTCTTGGTTGTCCACAAATATCAAGGTGCAAGTCAGGAGCACTTACCTAGTAGCCATAATTACTACATGTGCAGCTTTATAAAAAAAAAATAAGGATAGCCATACTTCGGCCCTCCAGCTGCTGTGGAATTGCAAGTCCCACAAGGCATTGCAAGATTTTGACTCTCTCGCTTACCTGCTGTCTGTTGCTTTGGCAGGCAGCACTTAGATGTTTGAACCACAGCATGGCATTTGCACTGTTCCCGGCCTGATACTTGTAAGAGTTTCCTGATGTTGAAAAACAAAAATGAGAACACTATAAAAATGACAGATTTTCTCTTTAGAAGCAAGTCACCTTCATCTTCCCTCCTCTACATCCCATATCTTATTTCTGAATGGGTTCTTCAATAGCATTCAGCTTTACTGCAATATTAGGTGCTTCTTTATAGAGGAGAGAACTACATTGCTGAACTATTACTGTACATGGAGTATTTCTTATCAAGTGTTCTCTTCACTTGGCTAACGAGTACTTCATGCTCTAATGAGTAACCTAATATTTCACCGCAAAGTTTTATCAAGAATAGAAGTTTAGGTTCCTTTATAGGAAAGTACTCTAAAAAAACGCAGAGAACCTTTTATTTGTTGAGATGAAAAGGTTTCCCATTGTTGTTACTAGGGATGCACCGAAAATTCGACCGCCAAAACATATCGGCCAAAAATGGCACTTTGGGCAAAATGCCGAAAGTACCATTTTGTGGGTGAAATTGCGGTGCATCTCTCATTTCTCCCCAACCTGCTGGGCCCTGCTCTGTGTCCCCACTGGCACAGAGCAGCATCCAGTGGGGAGGAGAGCAACTGTCAGGAGGCAGAGGCGGGCGGGGAGGAGAGCACTGTCATCAGTCTGTCACAGGAAACCAAGCCCTCCTCTCACACCACCCCGCTCAGCCTCCCGTGACAGACACATCAGGATTGAGAGCAGTGTAGGGGCGGAGACAGCTCTGAGCTGTCACAGGGGGCCTAGAGGAATCAGCTGTCAAATGTGACCAAACTTTTCTCCCCGCATCGCAGACTCAGCCTCCTGTGACAGAGACAGGATGGATAGTGGAGTACAAGCGCTCAGCAATCAGTGATAGCTGAGTGTTTGTAAATAATTGAGGACATAGTATGTTTACTGTGTCCCCAATTATGAATGAATAGGAAGTGCCATACATTGCTTCCTGTTTATTCATGATTGTGGACATGGAAAACATACTGTCTGCACAAGTTATGAATGAACAGGAGCACTCAGTATACAAGATTCCTGTTCATTCATAACAGGGGCTGCAGGAAAATAGCCTTTTCTATTGTAAAAGGGAAATATCAGGGGTCTGCTTAGACCCCTAATATTTCTCCAGAGCCTCCAACAGTAAAGTTAATTTAAAAAAAATTAATTAAAAAAAAACAAAAAAAACTTTTTTTCTGGTTTGATTTTAACCCCTTCATGACTGAGGCCCTTTTTTCAATTTTTGCACCCATGTTATATTCCACATTTTAGGCCTGAAAATGACGTAAAACCCCCCAACATTATATATTTTCTGAATGCCAAGACCCTATAGAATAAAATGGTGGTAGTTGAAAATTTTTATGTTGCGCAATATTAGCGCAACTCCTTATTAAACCCCAAAATTTAGTGACAAATTTAATTAAATGCCCCAAAACACAACAAATTACCCATTTTTTAAATGAAATATAAAAGATGAGGTTACAACGAGTAAAACGATACCCAACATGCCCAGTTTACAGATTGCGTGCGACCGTGAAACGGCGAAAAACTGCAGTACCCCAAAAAGTCAATAAAAGACACTTTAAAAGCCCCCACAGGTCATCAATTTAGAAATACCCCAAAATACTGGCCCTAGGATTATTGCTCTCACTCCGGCGTGCGTGGCGATACCCAACATGTGTAGCGCGTTCGTCGTTTTCATGCGTAGGCGCACCCGACGCGTGTTTACGTGGCGACGCGCGTGCTCGCGGGGGCGGGGTACTTTTAAATTTTTTTTTTTTTTATTAGATTTATTTTATTTCATTTTAATTTTAAAAACTGTTTTTTTTTTTTTTTTTTATTTGACTGCTATCACATGGGGGGCTTGCAAGCCCCCCCATGTAATAGCAGATGGTGGTGACAGGTCCTCTTTAAGGTGATGCTGGGGGTCCAAAAGACCCTCAGTGTCACCTTTACACTAGAAATGAGCTATTGAAGTGCAGATCGCACTTCAATAGCTTATAGCTGGGCTGCAGGAGCCCAGAACTGACAGCCCAGGGACCGGAAGTGATGCAATCTGCATCGCTCCCGGTCCCATAGAACGGGGAGGGGATCGATGAACGGAAGTTCGTCGACCTCCTCCCCAGCTCCCCGCGGACACAAAGATCGCCGGTCCCGGGCCCGTAGGAGGGGCAACGGAGCCCGGGAAGCACGGCGGGGGTGTCCGGCGGGGGGGCGGCCCCTTCTTCGGGACGCAGAAGCGATCTGGCGACAGGTAAGTCGCCAGGATCGCTTCTGTTGTAAAGCCGACAGTCGGCTCTACAAGTTTAAACAGAGTCCCGGCGGCAAAAGTCGCCGGGAGTCTGTTTAAACAGCCCCGATGCTGGCGACGTACACTGTACGTCGTCAGTCACGAAGGGGTTAAAATGTGATTTTGGTGCACCTCTAGTTGTTACTATTGTATACAGTTCACATTTGTCACAGTTGCAGTAGGCTTCACTAATTGTGAAAATCACAACAAATTAGATATTAATGTTGTGGAGTCACAGGACTTAAATCCTAGAAAATAAAGCAACTAAAATGACATCATCAGTTTTGGGTGGACTTGTTCTAATAACCTTCAAAAGCTTGCACTATAAATATTGTATCGGGGGGGAAATTGTAATTATCTTTCTCCCTTACATTTTGACACAGTCAGTATGTGAGCTTTTGTCAGTGAAGAAAGAGTTTTTCTTTCCGAGTTGAATTCATTCCTAAGTACTAAACTAAAAAATGAACATCCTAGCATGCCTTACCTTTCTCAGAGTCCGTGAGTAGAAAGAGATCCTTGTGTTCAGGGTCATCAGCCATCATCACCATCCAGCCCAGAACCGATACATTTTTTGTAGATGTGGACTTGAACTGAAACGAAAATAAAAATGTCATAAATAACACCAATCACTATGTAGATAGTCCATAATCCTAGTCATTGGAGCTATTCAGTAACTCTCCTCTCTAGAACACAAGCACTATTCTGTAGTGCATTCATCACCTTGGCCCTATTCACGCTTCTAATAAGGCTCAAAGGCTCTAACAGTGCTGCCCGTATTCTAGTTCAGGCAATATTTTAATCACTTCCTGAATGGGGAAATCGCTTACAGTTGTGCCAATTAAAATGGCATTAGCCACAAGCCCTTTGTTCTTCTGGAGTTGTTTGTTTGCATCCCTTTTATGTTGTCATGCACATTAGAAGCTATGAGCTATGAGAAGCTTTCTATACATGAGGCCCATAGTCCTTCTCAGTTATGTTAAAATTGTTGGGTGACCTGTTGCAGTGTTCCATAGGTATAGAATATAGATATATTCAGTATGAGCTGTCAGTTAAAGACACTAAAATAAGCACTGGCTGTGGTGTTCAGTAGACATTTTGGAGAAGACAATGTCCATATAAGGGGGCGGGAGAAAAAGCTGGCACTTGGACACTGTAAACTTTGTGATGGTGGTAAACACTGGAATAAGCTTTGGAACACACTAGGGTTGGAGCTACCAAAGTGAATTCTTAAGGTCGTTCTATATACGAGTCACTGTAGCCAAAGAAAAAATAAATAAATCTTTGAGTGATGGTAAAAGAACAGTAATTCTGCATAGAATCATAACCATGTAAGACAGTAGTTGTGTATCCATCTGTTCTCAATAGCATTTGTATTTATTGGATGAGGATCTAAACAAACAAACCTCCCCATTATATCAGTAAGAAGTAAATTGTTTACTGACAAAATCATGGCAAAGTCATGACAAATTATAGAGATCTCATTCTATCTGCACAGTAATCGCCTATATTAAGGTTTTTAGTGACTTTGTCAAATACATGAGCATCCAGTTCTAATGATCGGGTTTCTGAATAAGATTATGGTCACACAGAAGTCTAATTGTAATAAATGGCTGAAATTATTTAATAAATGTGGAAGTGATATCTACAGCAAACGATGATATTGCCCACAGAAGCCACTCGAGTTCCATATCTGATTAAGAAAGCCTAGCTCTGTTTTTGCTTTAGTCTTCATATACCAGCCTGTATGTCTGCTCAGTGAGATGCTGCCTGGTAAACAGTGTAAAGGAATGAAAGACCTTTAACCATTTTAGCATATCCATCCCTTTTCATGAATGCTTTTAGAGAGTCCTACATAGAATACCTGTACATTAGTATAGCCACAATTACAAGATTGATCCCTCCAATGGAATCCAGAATGTTGCCATAACTTTATATATCTTAGTAATGATACTGCACAATCATAAGTATATGTAACAGTAATATTTCAATCCGGATCCTAAATCACTTTAGATAACCTGAAGATTATGGGATGAGGGTGAATATTTGCCTTGGTGGAGCCATGGCTTTGCGGCTGCAGGAGAAATGTAGATTTCACCATTAGCAGATACAAAGGACGCGCTCCCTGGCTGTAGAAGAGGCTGCACACAATTGCCAGTAATCCAGCAGAGAATGTGCTCAAACTTCTGATTGCTCAGTTCACCCTTTAATCATTTTCTTTAAACATCGCCACTCGTCCCATTCTTTGTTGTGAAACATTGAACGCTTTCATAGGAGCTGTTTTTTATTAACAACAGACTAGTGCAATAATGGAGTCTCTCTGACATACAAGCAAAAATATGGCTTGATATTGTGCGTATGCCAAAAGATCATTGCTTGGCCAAGAATGTGCCTCTGTGTAAATCATCCCGTTACAGTGCAGTGGGATTTCGATACATTTTCATCCCTCACAGTCTATTTAGTCAGCACAGACATTTCCTAATTATAGGAGTTAATAATAATGGCCCCGTGTAATCTCTGTACCATACACTATGGTCTGGAGCCGATGCTGAGTGACAGAGAAAAATGTAAAGAACAAATGTGACACTTTCAAAGCACAGTTCAGACGCTCCACAGGTCACTCCATTTAAAGGAAGAGAAGGTCTCCCATAAGCTTTGTGGATGGACTGATACTACTCATTTAAAATTCAACCAAAATAGATATAGAAGACTGAAAACTGCTGTGCTTTCCCCAGAAAAAGGTTTGGGATAATTATCTACAGGGCATTATTTTAGGCTGTTAGCATTTCATCCTGCAATTTTCTCTGTGTCAGCCACTTCTAATTATGAATTGATTGTAATCTATTAACTTGGGTGCTCATTTATAACATGGAACAGATATCGCTATGCACTATCCATTAAGCACCCACTGTGGCCCATCCAGTTCATAAAAAGCCACCCAGAGTGTGTAGCTGGCAAAGGAGAGATGGTCGTGTGACTGACAGGTTCTAAAGCTTCAGAGTCCCAAAGCTAGAGTAGTACACAGCACATGTGTAAAACTTTATACATGTGGGCTTGTGCTTTTCATGTGTTTTTTTTTTTAAAGCTGTGGTATGGCCGCAGTGAAGACATATACCGCAGCTTTTTAAATCAGCTCCTCAGACTAACTCTTTCGGGGAGTGCTACAGAGCTCTTCCATGACTCCTGAATATAACAGACATGTAATTAACCACATAAGAGAAGCGACGATTGGACTCTAATTTGTTAAACTGAGGAATATGGGAAATCCTCCGTTTTATAGAGGTTTATCTACAAATCAATTACCTTTAAATAATAGGTTATGACTTACATGCTTCCGTTCTGTGGCTTTTAGAGATTTTGCTGCATAGTATATAAGCTGTGTACCGCACAGTACTGCCCAGTATTTGGTCCACGATGCCACCTGCATGAAAACATATCATGACATGCATCTTATGCTACAACATACCTAGTGTCATAGATGGATAGATATATACACACCCACCCTAAAAGCATGCTGCATCTTTTATGCAATGTGTAAACTGCACACCAAAGGAACATTACTAGAACATAATCTGCACTTACAATGCTAGTATTAGGCCTCATTCACACTGCCGTATAATATGTTGCTCATAGATGCACACAGCGTTTTTTCCCCATATGCAAATAAATGGCTCCATACACATAGCTGCTAAGGAGCCGTATTTTTGCGCAGCGTAAAGATGCGCAAAAAGAAAATGGAACGGAGATGCGCCCGGACTTGGAATTCCTGCGTATTTTATGCATGTGCGCACATATATACCCGTTTACGCACGTACGCCCATACTGTACAGTAAAGTTTCTATTAAAATGATGCATTCTGGGATTCCATATAATTCACGCATATGCGCGACTATACACATTTACAAATATGCCTACAATTTTGCTCTTGCGTTGTGTGTGAATGAGGCCTAAAGGTTGAGCAGCTTAACAAAACAAACCACAAACATCATAACAATTGAGCATATTAATTACAGAATCTATTCAGGATAGTTAAATGCTGTTAATTTAGGAGTAGAACAGATGGCATTGTTTGTTGCTTGATGGGGAACATGAGGATTCTGTACTTTAGAAAAATAAATAAAATATACAGCATTATATGTCTATGCAAGAACGTATCCTATAAGGGACATTAAAAAGGCAACTTCAAATAATGACTTGTTTTGCTTGGATTGCATGTTCAGCCCGCAGTCTTTGTAAACTTAGTCCAATAAAAAACAGAAGAACAAGGTCTCTGGAAAGTTGGATCAGGACACCTAAACACTTTCAGAAACGTAAATGCCATCCAAGTGATTTTACTTTGATTCTGTTCCCATTCACTGCTATCTGACATGTTACAAAGAAGAAATATTTTGATAAATGTACAAGAATTCATTTGTCTAATTTGAACTATTTAAAAAAACATTGCTGATAATATGCCAGGGACCTATCTGAGGCAATTCTAAAGAGCCCCACTAGGTGGCGACGCAATATAGAATTTCAAGGCATACTACATAGAAGAGAAAAATGACTCATACACGGGTAGAATAGTGGGCACTATGTATAGAAACCAGACAAATCTGGGTACAATTTTTAGCAGCTTGCATTATTTAGCAGCCCAGAGTACAAGGGATGAATGTTTGCATAAGAATTTTGGGGCTAAAAAGCTTCAGTTGCAGTGCAGTAAATGTGGACCTATATCATAGCGAGTGGGACTGAATACAGGAGGATCATGCAGGAATCGAGGATTAATCACGCATCAAATCAACAGCTTGTCATTTGAAATTGGAGATGTTTGAAAAAAATTTGACAGCCCATTTTAAAAATGGGAATTGCAGCTGTTCTGCCAACACCAGTGAATGTGGTATGATTGGGTTGACACATAGGCAAAAGTGGGAGGCAATTGTGCTCTATCACTACATGTAGGCAAACTTAAACACTTAAAGAGCCATTTGGACCCGTTTCCCACAGAAAAGAAAACACCGGGAGCCACAAAACCCTTTTGAGCCAGTCACAGTCTCTGTACAGAGAAGCTTACACTCTAATGTTCCCCCACACACATATTTACAGTAAAGATGCTAGCATAAAAAAAGTCAAATTGGATTGATTTTGGCCACAGACTGGAGGCTGTTCCTTGATTATGTTCCATATGTAAATGGAAAATTCAAGAGCGATGACTAAATTATGGGATTTTTTAAATTGTGAACACTATGTGAATGTCATTTACTACCCCTGTTGTTTTGTGGCCTGCTGCTGGTCTCTTCAATAAAAACATGCCTTGAACAGTTTCAAATAAAAGATAATTTCTCTTTTACATAAAAAAAAAAGAAAAAGAGTCAAATTAAAAAAGAAGAAATTATGGAAGAGGACAGGGACACCGCAGTGCCTTCCAGGGACTCCCATAGGACTTACACTGACACTCTCGGCCTTCTAGGGGACACCCCAGGTCTCTCTGCACTCTCCCAGCTGGAGAAGAGGCGTGGCCACAATTCCTGCATGGACCGGCCCGCTAAGGCTAAGCACACAGGAGGGGGTGTAGCTACGCCTTCGTCTGTGGTGTGCTGAGAGGAGGCCCCGACAAATGCTTTGAGGAGATACCGCCCTGTTTCCCGATCACCGCATCTTCTTTCAAATCAGTGGGCGGAAGGAGCGGAGCCGCAGCAGAAGGACGAAAGAGCCGCATGCGGCTCCGGAGCCACGGGTTGCCGATCCCTGATCTAGGGGATGCACCGATACCGTTGCCGATATTGGGCTTTTTCACAAGTACTTGTTAAAATCCCCCGATACAGAAGCTTTACATTTTTTAAGTGAAGTGGCTGTCTGAGGTCCTGTACTTGCTGGGGACCTCGGCAGCCTTCCTGTGAACCACACAGCACACGTTTACTGCACTGGCCCGCACATCTCCCCCTCCTTCCTGGGGAACCATGTGGCGCTGCTAACATCGCTTCCGCCACAGCCCTCCTTAGACCCTGCAGACATCAGGCCGGCACCCCGGAGCAGCACAGAGTATATAGCTTTGTATTATTCTGCATTGCTGTATAATGTATTGCTGTGATTTGTAGTCCTCTATACCTGGGGATATTCAGCATTGCTGTATAATGTACTGCTGAGATTTGTAGTCCCTCTGCAGCTTGGAGTCAGTGGCAGAATTACCAGGGTTGCAACTGCGACCAGGCCTTGGTGCTCCACCACTGTCCTAAAATCATTAGTATGCATTGTTTTAGAAAAACTCACAAAAAAAAAGGTATCAGTAATCGGTATTGGCGAGTACTTGAGGGAAGGTATCGGTACTCGGTCTGGAAAAAATGGTTTATCAGTGCATCCCTAACTGCAACCATCAAATAAGGCAGAATCTTCTCTAGTTCAACCAATGAATATGCTGAAATTAGTTTAAATGTGCAACACTAGCTGAAGGGAGTGCCGGGTTTTTGTATTGTCTCAACAATGTGCACCAGTCCTTTGCTAGTTATAAACAGATTTGAGCAGCTGCTATTGGTAACTTCCCAATGTAGACATAGATGGCAATAAAAACCTGCCACATGATTTACCATTACCAATTAAAAGGTTTTTGGTTAATGTCTGCAGTCATGTACCTCCTAAAGCAAACCCTTAACCAAAACCCTAATATTTAACCTATCCTTATTCCCTAAACAAATAACCTGAACCCCATAATTGTCATCTACCCCTTTATCTACGAAATCCCCAACAATAACTTAACCCCTACAATTTCAGATATTTTATTGGGCTCCAAACTACCAACATTGGAAGCACACATTCATTTACAGAGATCTCAATGCCAGAAAACACAAAGTTAAACTATGTTAAGCTCCCCATTCACACGTGGAACATGTTCAGGCCATTTTAAAGCTTTTTTTGTAAAGTTTTTCAGGTTTGAGTGTGCGTGCTTTAGCCAACGGTAAGCTAGTTACTAGGAAGAGGAAAAACATTTGTTAGGTACAGGATTCCGTCAAATGCATGCATTTTGCAAATTTTTAGGTGATCTCATTGAAGTCTATGGTGCCAAAAACACACAATTCAGCCCAAAATGAAGCTCTTTCGATCTTCAAGGTACAAGCGACATAATGCTTAGGAGTGAATGGGCACCACTGAAAATAATAGGATTCCTCATGTTGAGTGGTGTCGTGCTTCAGGAGACATCCAACAAAACACTCAGGTGTGAATGGGGGCTTACTGCGCATGTAGTATCATGAAAAATGTTTTATTGTTGATTATTTGAGTACATAGATACTTACTGTTGGCTTTTTGCCCTCCTTTAATAAGGTCTTCCGTCGCAAGACCCCCTGTATGGTGGCTGACCCAGGATATAAATGCATTGCTAGTTCCGCTGAATCTGCAGAGCTGCAAGAAAAACATTCAATTCAATTGTCAACGCGTAACCCCTCGCAGTAACTGGCATTGGGAGCACAATGCTGCCAGGCTCCTGGAGAATAGTACAAGCTGGCAGAGGGGAATGAAGCTTAATAGGTCACACATCTGCATGAGACAGACATCAAACGAAGGAGGAATTTGATGTGTGTCACAGACAGCTTTTAATACACAGCACACAGGAAATAAATGTCAGATCAAAAGTCAGGCCATGGGGGTCACAAGACATCAGTAAAAAGGGACTTTCACATTCTGTAGGGACCACACAATATTTGAAGGGGACAGATCACCTAAAACTAATGGCAGTCTTTGGCAGGCGCTGAATATAAGAATTCACCCACCACTGCAGTGGTGAGATCAACCATTATTCTTGATGATTTTCCCAAGCCACACTCCTGCTGCTGCATTCTCCATAATGTTAAATAAATTAAAGATTGCATAGCAAGTAGAGGGAGAAATTACAAATCTGTATTCTGCAAATCCTCTAAAATATAGAGCAGCTTTATCAGAAATCATCACAAGTGTAACTTGAAATAATACTGACACATTTGTTAAGCCTCTAAAGGCACAAGTTGTTCTGGAGTCAGTTCTGCAGATCATTTGTGACTTTTTATTTAGTATTGATGTACAGTGCACGTGTCACCTGTATATTAGCAGCTGGGAGACTAACCAAATCTCCTGAATGTTACAGGTCATCACAAATGACAACTAGAACTGGGTCATTTTGATGATAGCCCATGAGATGATGTCAGGTGATCCGAATGACTCTGATAGATAAAGGGAAAAATACAAAAGCTCACTCAGTATTAAAGTTAAGCAGTAATACTGTTTTAGTGTGTGTTACTCATGAGCCAAATACAGCAAGCGGCAAGTTGGAATCTTGGTTAATGGACACTGTGAATGGGTGCTAATAGAATAAACTTGCCTGGAACTGCGCAGGTGTACGCAGCTCCTAGTAAGGGAAGAGATCCGGAGTCTGCGCATAGATAAAGTGTGTGGTCTCCTGAAAAGGAAGGGAGCAAGTACATCTCAGTATGCACCCCCTTCCATTTATCACAATGGATATCCTAAGGCTTCATAGCCATAGAAATCGGCAGACATACCAAATGTTCTATACGCTGCCATAGATATATATAGCTGAGCCGGTAGACATCAAACCTTCATATAATTTAGACGGGTGCAGAACAGACATTATGTAAGGCATGGGGTGTGCAGCTGCAGACATCTTTACATTTAGGAAGGGGGGAGCTTTCTACTAACATTTTACAAACCCTCAAAAATTCAGTCTGATGAGTCATCAATGAGGAAGGTCACTTTGGCTTTGGTCACATAGCATAAGTTTGTCATCATTGGTGTAAAGGGCAGGCCATGATGTGGAAGAAGCTTTAGCTCCTATAGTCATACGCAGTCTGATAAAGGGGGCAAGGCATGACTTCTAAAACGCATCAGCATTTGTGTACAGTCTTTCAATAAATGTGGCAATGAAATAATCTGGTATCCAAAACTTGATCATCATGTTGTAGCCCTTCAATTTCTAGATTCAGTAATAACCAGACAAAGCTTTTATCCCTTTCCCATTTTTCTGAAAAAGTGTTGTTTTGTTGGCAGCTGTGTTCTCACTGGACATATTTCTCATTGCTTCCTGTCCTGACAGAAATGAGGGAAAATCTCTCCCATGGAGTCACAGATCGCAGTAGGGACAAGCACAGGACCTTTATCCCTATCCCACTATACTATTTTGAGTTTCTCTTAGTTTGTGGACCAGTTTAAAGCACACATATATACATCAGTTTCATCCAACTCTCCTATGAACGAGCAAGGAGAGTACAGGTCTTGATAAGACCACATAGAAGGAATTCATCCTTCTGAGGCAAGATGTAATACAACGCCAAAAAAGATTTTTAATGAGGTTATTCAGCGATAAAAATTCTCTTTTCACAGGTGCAATGTCTGAATAGTAGCTTTTATGACAGACACCATTAATATTAGCAACAAAAGTCTTCTCAAAGTGTTCTGAATAATACTGCATGTTATCATGGCCCAATACAAAGCTTGTGTCTGTCTGCCACATATGCACACTGCAGTTTAGAACGTAGCTGTTCTAGAAAAACAGTTCTGTATATGGAATTGATTAGGTAAAACTTTGGAAATGATGACAGAATACTGGACAAGGGATACAATGTAAAAATCAAGGCTTTAGTTTTTTTCCCCCCTATAACTCAGTCCAAGGAATACCTAGAACATACTGTGTGCAGACAAATGCAGGACAGATTCCTGGTATTCCAAGGAAGTTAATGTGTGCCATGGTAGGCTTTGTAAATGTTATGGAACTAATTGCAAGGCAAGATAAATGCTGCTTTAACATCTGTTACTTAAAACTATCCCTGTGTATATACATTTCTCTCTTTTTAATGGTCAGGACTAATTATTAGGGATGCACGGATACCGGTATTTCAGTAACGAGTACCGATATTTTTGCTTCGGTACTTGCTGATACCGAATACCGATAATGGAAGTTCCATTAAGGAAGCCAGGTGACATGTAATGACTCGCCACCTGGCTTCCTGATTAGCCGGGAAGCGTGTAAAAACTCGGCACACGGCTTCCCGATTAGCAGTGAAGCCGTCCCCATGCTTCTCATTACTAAGTGACGAGAAAGCATGAAGCTGGCTTTCTGGCCAATCAGGAAGCCGGGCGCACACCATTACACGGCGTCCGGCTTCCTGATTGGCTGGGAAGCCGACTCCTTGCTCCCTTGTCATTAGGTGACAAGGGAGCATGAAGCCGGGTGCATGGGCAGTAAGTAATTTCTGATTGGCCAGGAAGCCGGCTCCATGCCGAGAGCATAGAGCCATGTGCATGGCTTACACCACAATTTGGTGAGCGTGCATGTTATCTCTGTGTGGGGGAAGGGGACTGTTTTTTTTTTTATTTTTATAATTTTTTTTTTTTACTGTTGGGGGGCCTTTGGAAATATATCAGGGGTCTAAATAGACCATAAGCTTATAGCAGAAGGAGAAAGCCACACTGATGTGGCCAGCTGCAATTGGTTGTGTTCCTCCATATGCGTCAGTGGCAGTCGAAAGGGTTAAGGGCAAGGTGAAGTTATGTCCCCCCCCCACCCCCCAAGACTTTTTAGGACACTTTTGTCAGATTTGGATCTCTCTAGACCACAGACATTTGTTCAACTGAAACTCCAGCCACAACTAGAAGAGCAGAGATGGCAACAAAAACACTTTTAGTAAGAAGACTTGAAAAGGTTAGAACCTTAGAAAGGTGTGAGACTTCGCCCACCTACGACCTTGAAAGAGGTTCTAACTCTACCCCACACTGTCTACAACTAAAAGAAATGGTTTTAAATGGGGTTTCAGTTTAAGACCAATTACTCTGAGTAATAACATGTTACAGATTATGTTCACAAGATGGCCATCCAATGATAATGAACAGCCTGAAATACTCGAGACTGAATTTGTTAAAACAGGGACAAAGACCACCACTGGGTAAACAAATCTGAGGATTGGATTGCTATGTATAACACTTAAACTTTGCTAAGCACCGGAATACCATTGAAATATGGTCTTCTACTTACTAAGAGTGAGCTTAGAGCTTCAGATGTATTACTATAAAATCATTTTTTAACAGACAGTGTGACTAAATTGAAAAATACCCTTTTGTCAAACAACTTAGGAAGTTAAAATTAACACAAAAAGTATTTACGGCCATGCACTGATTTTTTTTACAATTGATGCAATAATTGAAAGCTGTTCAGTTGCTGTGCAAAACAAACATATAACGCAATGATTGTGTTGTGCAATAGAAAATGTATTATCTATAATCTTATGAACAAACTGAAGATTTAAATAGGAAGAAATCTGAGAGAATCCGCACACACCAAAATAAAAACATCCCCAAAAGCAAAAGAAGAGCACCCGGCAACCAAGAGAGAATAAATAATTCAGTCTGTGCCAAAACCCCACCACCAACATAGTGCCGGGATAATACCTGCTGGCTTTCATTGGGCCTCGATAGCCATTCCATGTCCCTCGTGTCACCGGCCCCAGAGAATGGTACAATCTGTTCCTGTTGGATTCCATTACAGATTGGCAGTATTACTTACAGTGATACCACAACAGGAAATACAGAACAGGCAGAGGACAGGCTGTTCTCATACCACCAATATGCTCAATTTAACTCTTGTCAGGAAATTTCCCCTTTTCATTATATCCAAAAATAGTCCAACATGGATACTGGTAGCATATCTGATGCAGCCCAATAAAGTTTTTCTGTCCCTCTCTATGCAGCAGAGACCACAAAGAGCAAAGGCAAGTGGACTTGTGACCAGTTTTATTTATTATGAGAAAATCAATTCTGGAAATGCTTCATTTAGGAAATACTGTTAATACTAAAAATGTTGCTATAGACAACAAAAACAGTTCTTCCTTTAAATATGGTCATGCCTGAGGTGGCTGAATTTCTCTTTCCTTAGTTATTAACAAACGTGTACAATTTCATTCGGGGTACCCTTTGTACGTCTCTCCATAGGAGAGGGAAGATATTAATTTGTTGTTTAAGACCGACAAACGCAAATCCTTTTCCTTCTCATAAATTGACCATGTCTTGTGCAGCAGAATAATAAAACTTTAAGATACTTATTAGATGGTACAGATGCCCATCCACTCGTCATAAGATTTTCCCTAATTGTTCAGACACTTGCTGGCAATGTAACGTAGATGGATGGACTAGGACTCATATCTGGTGGGCTTGCCCTAAAATAACACCCTTCTGGAACACAGTTTTTTATGTTTATCGCAAAGTGACTTCCCTTACACCATCACCCACTCTGTTATTTTAATTATAGTGGCAGGAACGGTTACTCCAGGACATTGGAAGTCGCCTACTACACCCTCATTGCAGGAATGGCTTTCCGAACCTAAGCTTGTAAGGGAGCTGAACGTACAGCTGTATGACAAACTCTCGAGTTTCCGCTATTTGGTCCACCTGGATTCTTTTTCAAGATAGTTTGTAGCATCAAAGGCTCTTTGAGTGATGGGTAGCTGGTTCTCCTGGCACCCGTGTGGCCGTGAGAGGAATGCCTATCTGTCTCATGATATCCCCTTGTTCCTATTTTCCTTCCTCTTTACTTCACAATTACTTTTAAAATTTTCTTCTCCACATTTGTTCCCTCCTCTCTAAAGGTCATTTTCATGTAGTCCTCAGGTGGACAGCCGTGTCTGTGACTTTGATGAGTACCCGGTATTGCTGTGGATTGGTTTGGGTAAGGGATCTGCGGACTGTCGGCTGATTCTTTGGACCTATCATCCCGGGGTCACACGGACTTGGACTTTGGGGGGGAATGTAACTAGAATCACCACACTACAGTCTATGGAAATGGCATACCCCTGACATAGTGGTTCTGATTCTGTGCCCCTAAAAACTCAATCGCCTGTGTATGTCCTGCCATGTACCCACATCCTATGCTTGAGAGAGCTTTATGTGTCTTTGTTAACTACACGCTAAATGTTTCGAAACTTTAAGATTATAATATAAACCTCCATGGGATTCCACACATCCAGTGCAATCGCTATGATAAGAAGAATTGACTTTCTTATTTTCTGTGTAAATAGCCATGAGAGGAGGAGACATGTACTTTAACTTTAAGGACCTCTCAATACCCTTTACATGTAGCTTCATTTGGCAACACTCTCCAGTTGAATCACACAAAAGTTTGATAAAATGAGATCCGGTCTAAAGGGTACCTCAAAAATAGCAAATGGCAAATTTGTTACTGCCTAGAACACTGCTTGGCAGTGTGTTTGAGCAAGTTAAAAGAACCTGAATGCAGTTTATTTTACTGGGATGTTAAAATCCCACTGCGTTTAAGTATTATGCCCCATCACATTTTATTTTCATTATTGGACTTGCTGACCTCTCCTGTTCCATGAATACCCACGGTTCTCCTCCTATGCGAGTCGTATTGGTACATTTTGAAACATAATTGGGCACTTTATAGTTGCAATTGTAGGTCAAGTGTATCATCTTATACTTGGACCTACCCAGTATGAAAAACAACATGTAATGGAGCAGTGTCCCATAGCAAAGAAAATTGTCGTTATGACTACAGTTGAAGTAACATAAAATTGTCTTCTAAAATCAGGTGACACAGTTGTTATTATTTCAGAAGATGCAGTCTAGTGTAGTGGATCGTTACAGAGGCTCTTGATAGCATGTTGATGTGGTCACCTGACACTTCAAGATATGCTTTGCAAAACACTATTCATGGAGGTATTCAGCTGTCCATCAGCTTTTATAGGCAGAACTGGAAAGACACGAATGTCACCGGAGGACTTAAACTGTCGTACCACTCTAGGCAGTGGTGGCACCAAAATCATCACTATTGTATTGCACAGTGCCACTACAACTCATGTGTGCTGTTATCCTTTACAACAGCACACAGGAACTATAGAATCCAGATCAGGGCCATGATTGTCTCTGACATCACAAGGATGCTGGCACCAAATCAATAATGTAAAAAGAGCTGTTGAGTAAGTGGGGAAGTTTGCTACAGAAGAAATAAAACTGCTTTGACTTCAACTTTACCATGACTAAACAGAAAAACACAGACATGTGTATAATACCCCTTACAATTATTCTTCATGGCTGTCTCTATTGGGTGAAATAGCAGCATACTTGCTCTTACCTTTCAAATGCTGGCCATGACATATCTTCACTGAGCTCAGAGCCATCACTGCTCCCTGCAGATAAAAAGAAATAGAGAACACAATCAAAGTGGAATGTCAGTCATTGTGATTTTGCTTTCACCCTGCTCTTCCTCACTGACTGGAAGATATTAAAAGGTAATGTCAATTATGTAACTATGTGTCCTGTAACCTACTGTGTCCTATCAAAAACATTCCAAAGACATTACAGGAACACAGAATAAAAAACTCGCTGGAACAAACTTGACTCCCTTCACTTGATAAAAGTTTAAGCCTATTTTTATATAGCGTTCGATAGATTAGAAATCTAGACTGAGTGTATAAACCTGAGCGACTGCGCAAATGAAGAAACATGCATATGCAATGGCTACCTTTAGTCAAAACAATCAAGTAAAACTAACATTATTAATGCAGAATGCACATGTTTGTCTTATTGGTTTCTGGTGCTTGGTGGAAAACGGTGCTGCTTTTAAATTTTCTTCCTCCCCACTGTGTGCCTCTGAATTCTCACTAAAAGGCATTGCAACAGGCCCACCTTTTTGTCTGTGTGGCTCCCAGCCTCCCACAAAACCCATGAAAGGCGATGCCCCCTGGGCTACATAGGGTGTCAGTCACAGCTACTGCGTCCTCTGTGGTAGATACAACTTCCATAGAGCCAGTTTCATCCAGATGAACAAGGGTTAACTTGTCCCTCCCAGTGCACGGGTGTGCCCAAGGGGGTGTGCTTTGTACTGCAAGCACATGTAACAGCATCTTGTTTCATCTGGATAGGAATGAGTCATCTACAAAGAGCCACCCCCTCCTGGGTTATAGTAAAGTTATTTCCTAGAGTCTGTACTGTAGGCAGAAAAGGGGAATCAAATATTTCTTTCTAAATGATTAGGGTGTTCATAGACTGCAGAGACACTTGATGGGCAACGATAAAAATTCCTGGGCAAGTAGACTTTGTATTTCAATGCTAAATTTTCAAGTTTATTCAGTTTATCCATTAAAGAAATTGCTTTGTTCAGGTCTTGACCACTTCTGTATTGCGCAATAACATTTAAATTAGGAAATTGTGTATTCCAGACAGTGTGGTACTCTTTAAAATTAACATGAAAGACATCTACTATTGTGGTAAGGATTATTTATTTACAGTTTGTATCTGCAGACCAAAACTGAAAACAAAGAAATAGTCTGCTCCATATATCAGTTTGATTGAATATTTTCAATTCTAGGAGCCATTAATGGTGCTTGGTATATTGAATGGTACACAAGAAACCATTTAAAAAATAAATCTCAAACTGAAGGAAAAAGAAAGCCCCTT